TGATGGTGCCGTTTGGTGTTCCCCTTGGTTTTGGATGAATACCGATTTTAACATTCACTCATTTAGCATTTGGTCAAAACATGTATGTGCTGCATCTCCATTTTCCTTCTGTCCTCATGAACTTTGATTTCAGAATTCCTTTATTGTTCCTTTAGTGAGTTGTTTGTTTGTTTGTGTGTTTTTGAGATGGAATCTCACTCTGTCACCCAGGCTGGAGTGCAGTGGCATGATCTCAGCTCACTGTGGCCTCTGCCTCCTGGGTTTAAGCAATTCTCCTGCCTCAGCCTCCTGAGTAGCTAGGACTATAGGCATGAACTACCATCCCTGGCTAATTTTTGTATTTTTAGTAGAGACGGGTTTCACCATGTTGGCCAGGCTTGTCTTGAATTCCTGACCTCATGTGATCCACCTGCCTTAGCCTCCCAAAGTGCTAGGATTACAGATGTGAACCACCATGCCCAGCCTTTTTAAGTGAGACTTTTTAAGGGAACAAAAGTAAATACATGATTCAATAATTTATACTACGTTTTTAAACCTTGCTGGTTTCCTTAAGAATATGATTGTCTTAGTCAGTTTGGCTTACTATAACAAACATATCCTAGACTGGGTGGCTTAAACCGTAAACACTTATTTCTCACAGTTCTGGAGGTTTGGAAGTATAAGCTCAAGATACTGGTAGATCTGGTGTCTGGAAAGAGCTGCTTCCAGATTTGCAGATGGTCATTTGGTTGTATCCTCACACGGCAGAGAAGAAACCAACTCTTCTGTCTCATCTTCTAGGGGCACAAATCCTATTCACAAGGGCTCTGTCCTTATGACCTAATTACCTCCCATAGGTAATTACCTATGACCTAGTTACCTCTAACTGCCATCACACTGAGGGCTAGGATTTCAACATATGAATTTGGGGGAACACAAACATTCAGTCAACAACAATAATCATCATAATAGTTGACATATACACAGTGTCTCTATGTTCCAGAAACTCTTTTGCATGCTTTACCTATATAAGCCTTCTGACCTCTCAAGTGAAGAACTTGCCTACCTTAGCTCAGCTAGTAAGTAGTAGAGCCAAGACTCAAAGCATTTGGAATCTGGAGTCTAAACTTTCAATCATTAGACTACTGCTTCCTCCACAGCTTTATTTACCATTAAATATTCTTCTACAATGCTATTTTTAGGTACTACTTAGCATTCCATTACATAGATAAATAATTTCTATTAAAAATCTCTCATAATTGAACATCTAGGTCATTTCTATTTTTCCTCTATTAATCAATGTTGAGCTGAATGTAATCATAGCCTGTCTTTGTGCCACCTGATGATTTGCTTGAATTAAGGATGTGTATTTTAACCACAGCCACTTAGAAGAGTTATAAAAGGTAGTACAACCCACCCCGCTGCCTTCAAAGAAGGCCCCAAACAAGGTTGTAGCTCTGTCTTGCTTGGACAGTTCTCTACTGGCCCAGCACCTACCAAGCTGTGATGCTTCCTTTCTGTCTTGAGGTTTCACAGCCAGTCCCTTTAAATTCCTCCCAGTGTTCCTTCTCTTGCAGTGCTCACTACTAAGCAACACACACATGCACACAGAGACCACTTCTCTCAGTTCCACAAACTTCTCATATAGAATTAAGAGATGCTACAGGTAATAAACTAGGTAACTTACATGTTCAAAGCCTCACATTACTAACTGATGCTGGATAAGAATCTACGTAACTTACCGGTTCAAAGCTTCACATTACTAACTGAGGCTGGCTTCAAGCATTTCTCACCTTTCCTGGGCACTTCCTGATTCAGCTCTTTCAGATGCCTTTCCATTTCCTGTGCTTTGGCTGACACTCTTTTCTTGGTAAACCACAAGAAACTGTTGATACTCAACCACTTTTAAACTACAAAATTTAAAATATCACCTGGTTCAACCCTAATGAGACTGAAATGTTTATTTACCCATTGGAGAACATGATAACAGTTTGTGATACTGTAAAGCTGTTCAAAACCTGTGAAAACCCTTTCTATCCTTGAGGAAATTATTTTACATCTTTGTCTCTATGGTGTAAATGTCAGAAACTCACCTTCCCAGGCTGCTCCAATCAGAGACAAGATTTTCTACTCGGAAGAGAATGACAGGAAGAGCTATTCAGCCTTCAAGGAGAGATAGGGATAGGGGTGGAAACTGGGCATGGGAGGAGCACGGGAGGGGACTTCTAGGGTGCTGTGGTTAAAGTTCTATTTCTTGACTGGGGTGGTAGTTATATGGAAGTGTAGTCTGTGATAATTCTTTTCTATTCTGTGTTATTCTTGAATTTTAGAAAAGTTTTGGAAACTCAGTTGTTGCAAGGGTAGGGCTGAGACATTGAGCTGCCAGTCCTGATGGTGTCCAATTCCTGTGTCAGCGGTGTGAACAGCAGGATTTGTACTCAGTGCTTCTCTCTGGTGTCCATGGAGCAGTCCTGGAGGCAATTTTGGCATCACTCTTGCTGTATAGTCTCCACCACTGTTCTCTCATAAGGTGCCAAATATCCTTCAGTAAATATTCTTTTTGCTCTAATTAGCTATAGGAGTTTCTTATTTTGTTGTTGTTTTAAGAAATAGGATCTCACTGTGGTCACTCAGACTGAAGTGCAGTGGTGCCATCAGAGCTCACTATAGCCCTGAACTCCTGGGCTCAAGTGATCCTCCCACCTCAGCCTCCTAAAGTGCTGGGATTACAGGCATGAGCCACTGCACCCTGCCAGGTTCTCATTCATGACTGGCATCTAAGAGCCCTAGCTGATACAAGGAAACTCAGGCTCTGTTGAGGCTAGACCTTCAGATGACACTGAAAATGCTGTCCTCAAGGCCATCTGAATGCTGGCTCTGTGGAGTACTCTATGGTACTCCAGACTCTAGTGCTCCCTCTATTCTACAGTCAGAGCATACAGAGCTGAAAGTATACACAGCATATTCCGCTGCTTTCAGCTGGCTATTATTAGCTTCTCTAAAAGTCAACTTTTTTTACGTTCATATCCACTATTCTCCCCTCTATAAACCTCCTGTTCCCCAAGAAATACATGTACACACACATAAACACACACATATGCAGACCAGCAGCAGCAGCACCACCACCACCACCACAACCTGGGATACTCAGGAATATGTAAAAGTCATGACACACCCATGTCTCACTAGAATGTAATCTTCACAGACAGACATATTTGTCTATTTTGTTCAGTTCTCTATCACAGAATTTAGAATGGTGCCTGGCACATATTAGGTACCCAGTAAATATCTGTTAAATGAATGAATATCATACCCTAAAATACAACTATCTATTCATTTATCAAATGAAGAACAAATGTTTATGGAGACTGATGGGCTCAGGCACTGGCCTGTGTATGGGGAAAGTCATGGCTCTGCCCATGAGCAGTTCAAAGTGAGTTAACATTGCTAATGACCCCACAATATATGTTTTGTCACTTTTTTTTTTTTTTTTTGAGACGGAGTTTCGCTCTCGTTACCCAGGCTGGAGTGCAATGGCGCGATCTCGGCTCACCGCAACCTCCGCCTCCTGGGTTCAGGCAATTCTCCTGCCTCAGCCTCCTGAGTAGCTGGGATTACAGGCACGCACCACCATGCCCAGCTAATTTTTTGTATTTTGAGTAGAGACGGGGTTTCACCATATTGACCAGGATGGTCTCGATCTCTTGACCTCGTGATCCACCCGCCTCGGCCTCCCAAAGTGCTGGGATTACAGGCGTGAGCCACTGCGCCCGGCCTGGAGTTTCTTTTTAATGAAGCTGTGGGGCAGTGCAGGTAGGAGGTTTTTTGTTTTTGTTTTTTTTTTTAAACTAAGAGCTAATGCCTTCCTGCTCTTAATCTCAGTTTTAGGCCAAAGAGAAGGGAGCCAGCGACAATGTGGACTGGTAAATTAGATACCCAGGTATATGCCCACCACTTTTGTCCAGGGTAGTGCCCTAGCTAGATGGGTGGGAACCAACTTCAACCATGAATAAGGCAACACCGGGTAGCCATACAGCAAACAGATCCTATCACTCCCCGGTGGCTCTTCTTCAGACTTAGAATTAAGCCCCTACTCCTCACCCTGACAAGCTCTGGCCTTGCTACATCTCCGCCTGAGTGCCCTCAATTCTGCAGTCCTCTCTTCTCCAATCACTCTGGCCTGCAGCATCCTGAGCTACTCCCACCCTCTGTCCAGTTCTTTCCCCTGGTGCTTTCCTCTTCTGGGAATGTTCTCTTCACCGATCTTGCTTTTGTTGGTCCCTTTCTTAATCATTGAAATTCAATTTAAATGTCACCTCCTCAAAAATGTCTCCACTGGCCACCCAAACATAGTCCCACTGCCATTTCTTTCATATTATCTTGTTCAATAGAGGACATTTTCATACCTGACTTTTTCACATACAACAGACAGGCAATTCACATTTGCTTAAAGAATACATTCATCTAAACTTTTTTTTTAACATGTGTCAAAAGATTTTACTAAACTAATTCAATTTGTTAGGGAAACAATAAGATATTACAACTGGTTCAGAGAAGGATTCAAAGTGAAGACATGTATACAGGTCATTGGGAATGAGGAAATAAATTTGCTAAATTGATGCAATAACCAGGGCCTGTCATCCACAATCACTACACCACATACATACATGCTCAAGGACATCATAGGGCAGAGGCCACTGAGAACAGCTGAACCACAATGGAGCAGCGCCCCTTAACTCCAAATTTCCATGGCTATCACTGTTTTTCTCCGGCAAATCATAGACAAATTTTAAAGATTGACTAAATCTGTAAAAGCAATTAATCACAGAAGTTCAATGTCTGATAAATTATTCCAAAAGTGTTCCCGGTCACTCAGAATCACCAAGCATACATTCTGAAATCAAATTCTCTTTCTATCCAAAAAGTATAGGACATGAGTGTTCTTAAAGGAGGCAAATGATTGTTCTCAGGTAGAACGCATTCTCCAATGTAGATAAGGATGTCGATACCAGGTAAATGTTACAGTTGTGTTCATACTAACAATAAACTATGGATGATGTGGCTCAGAGTCAGTCAATGAGGAAAGATCCAGAGACATTCTGAGGTCACAAAAAGAATTTAAATGTTAGCTAACAAGGAGAAGAACTTCTTAGTGCTCATCAAAAACAGGGCTTTCCCACTGAGACTGAAAGCCAAGCAGAACTACCATCTCCCTTTATCAGTTGTCACTGCATACTAACATCAACACTGAGGAGAGTGATGTAGACGATATAAACATATGCACATACATATGCATCTATCAAGCATATACTTATATGCATACACAGTTTACATTTCCCAGCCAGTGTTTAGAAAAACTAGAATAAAAGAGAAATGATGTTGCTTTTTATTTTGGAAAAGTCTATATTTCACATATACATAAATGCATATATCTACATCCATATACAAGTAATGCCCACATGCAATATTAACATACTGATATACATGTGTATATATAGAGGTTCATATGTATATGTATACATGTACATTCACTTTATCACATACTCCATCAGCTTGATTTTTGAGATGGTAATTCAAGTTTCATCTTTGTTCTGGGCTTCGTTTCTGTCTACTGTGTTTTTCTCAACTGTCAAGTCACGTTTTATCAACACATTAGAGTGGGGCAAGCCAACACAGGATGGAAATATCAATCTCAGGAAGCTAAAATCACTGTGCAGGTTGGGATTTGAGAGTTGCTGATTTCCTTTCCCTTTCACCCAGCAGTGTGGACCATGACAGTGGGCTGGGGCGGGGCAGAGCGAGGCCCTCCCTGTCAGTCATAGCGGGGCAAACCAAACAACTCGGGCTCGAAGTCCTGCAGGGAATTCAGCACCACGGTGGCCTTTGTCGTCAGGTGTCGGCTCAAGTTTCCATCTGGAACCATGACCACCTGCATCCCAGCTGCCAGAGCCGCCTCCACCCCATTGGGAGAATCTTCAAAGACAAGGCACTTCTCCATAGGAGGAGGAGGAGAGAACCTCTTGGCACACTCTAGGAAGATGTCGGGGTCTGGCTTGCCACGCTGCACTTCGGGGTCATCTCCCAGCACGATGTGAGAAAACAAGCTGAAGAACTTCTTGAGTCTGCCTGTCTTCATCTCGAACGATGCAGACCCCGAGCTGGTAGCCAGGGCAAAGGGGATGCCATGTTTCCGCAGGTGGACGATGAGTTTTTCAGCCCCTGCCATGAGCGCAGCCGTGGGGAACATTGCCTTTAACTTCATCTGGCTTTCTTCCACCAGCTCCTCTTTGGACATTGGAAGCTGTAAGACGTCTATTATAATCTGCGCCGCCTCTAATGCCTTCCTACCCATAACCAGGGACTTTACATCCCAGCTGTATTTCTTGTCATAGCGATCACATATTTCTTGAAACACCACTGAATACAGTCGTTCAGTATCCAGAAGAAGTCCATCCATGTCAAAGATGAGGTGGGTGACCGGCTGCGGCGGGGGTGCAGGCAGGGGAGCAGCCATGGTACTGCCTTCCGGGTCTGGGTGGGGGCAAGGAGGACGTACGCGCACACCGGCCCGCCCCGCGCACGGGCACTGAGGGCCTCCGCGCGCGTCAGGAGCCAATCTCTCACCTAAACGTTGAACAGCTGAGGATGACATCACTCCCAGAGTTATTGCATGCCAAGTGTTGAGCAATTTTGGCAGAATTTCACATTCTTCTTCCATCCTTCTTTCCCCTTCATTTCTCTCTCCCATCCTCCTCCTTTCCTCGTCATCTCTTTTCTTCTTCGTCGTCTTTTTTCTTTTTGTGATGGAGTCTGGCTGTCGCCCAGGCTGGAGTGCAGTGGTGCCATCTTGGTTCACTGCAACCTCTGCCTCCCAGGTTAAAGTGATTTTTCTGTCTTACCCTCCCGAGTATCTGGGATTACAGGCATGCGCCACCATGTCCGGTGAATTTTTGTGTTTTTAGTACAGGCATGGTTTTGCTACGTTGGCCAGGCTGGTCTGTAACTCCTGGCCTCCAGTGATCTGGCCGCCTCTGCCTCCCACAGTGCTGGGAATAAAGCCACTCTTTTTCTTTTTTTTTATCGGCCTCCTCCACTGGATTTGCAGTCTATGAGAGCAGAAGCTTGTGAGTATGATTCACCGTGAATCTCTAGCTTTAACAATGCTCCACATACAAGAAACATGCAATTTACATTTGCTTAAAGAATACAATCATCTAAACCTTTAAAGGCTAAGGATGACATCACTCCCATGGTAAACTATTGCATGCCAAATGTTGAGCAATTTTGGCAGAATTTCACAATTCCAAAGAGGCCTCGTGAGACGTAAAAACTGAGCTTCCTGAGAAAGTGTCTGCTGCATTGTAGTTTGGGATATCCCTGGTTGGAGGAATATGAAAATAGGAAATGGCCTGAAGAAGTTAACAGCTGAAATTCATTGTATCTAGATGACCAAGAAGAAAATATTACATTGTCTAGAGCATCAAATTTATCTGCCATTAATGTGAAAATTAGAAAATTTTATTATCTTTCCTATACAACTCAGAGAACAATAATCCAAACAAACGTGCTTCCCATCATGAGGGCCAACATGTGCTGTATACTACCTCACTTAACCTGCTAGCTGCCCTGTGAAGAAGTATGTTATTATCCCCACTTTTCAGATGAAGAAGCTGAGCTTAGAGAAATCAAGCAATTTGCCCAGAGATGCAGAGCCAGGTTTGCCTTCAAAGTGGTTAATTTTGTTTTTCAAAATTGCCTGGTTGGGGTGGGGATTTCACAGTACAGCACCAGATAAAAAGTCACCAGCCACTTTGAGGTTAGAAAGTGATAATCTGTTTCCTGGCTCTACTGCCCACAGCTCACTGCCCACTGCCGTGACAGGGCAGGTTATTCAACATTATACATTAGATTGGAGGTGGCTTGGCTGATAGGCTTATTTCCTGTATGGTGGTGATGGTAACACATGTGTCCAAACTCCAAATGATATAATTATGTACAGGTTTTTGTATACCAATTTTGCTACAATAAAAGCTTGGGAAAAAATTTTATCAAAATAATTTGTGCTTCTCTAAAACGGTGTTTGATGACACTGAGTTCATCATAGTTTTTGGTCAAGTATGCATTCTTTACTTTCACTAGTATAGCTACGAAATTCCTAAACATGTTTAATAAAAAAAAAATCTATAGATTAGAAAGACCAGAGAGAACTTCACTCAAGATACTGTTCTGCAATATAGTCAGAATATAAAAGCTGAGTGTATTCCTATTTGATTTTTAAAAGATGAGCAATCAAACTGACAGTAGTTGAGAGAGAGAGAAAAAAGCCTGAGATACTTAATAATGTAAGATATGTTGAGTAACTATCTGGCAGAAAAGTAACCCATATTAGGAAACTTTTTTTTTTTTTTTTTTTTTTTTTTGAGACAGATCCTCACTCTGTCACCCAGACCAGAGTGGAGAGACACGATTATGGTTCACTGCAGCCTCTATCTCCTGGCCTCAGATTATCCTTCTACCTTAGCCCCTCAAGTAGCTGAGACCACAGGGATACACCATCATGCCAGGCTAATTTTTTAACTTTTTTGTTGAGACAGGATTTTGCTATATTGCTCAGGCTGGTTTTGAACTCCTGGGCCCATCCTGACCTCCCAAAGTGCTGGGATTACAGGCATGAGCCACCACACCTGGCCATCAGATTTTTTTTTTTTTTTTTTTTTTTTTTTGAGACAGTCTCGCTCTGTTGCCTAGGCTGGAATGCAATGGCATGATCTCAGCTCACTGCAAACTCCTCCTCCTGGGTTCAAGCAATTCTCTGCCTCAGCTTCTTGAGTAGCTGGGATTACAGGTGTCTGCCACCATGCCCAGCTAATTTTTGTATTTAGTAGAGAGGGGGTTTCACCATCTTGACCACACTGTTCTTGAACTCCTGACCTCAGGTGATCCACCTGCCTCGGCCTGCCAAAGTGCTGGGATTACAGGCGTGAGCCACCACACCTGGCCCCATCAGGAAAATTTCAAGACACCATCTGGAGCACATGATCTGTTTGCAGTCTTCCAGAGGTGTGTTTACTGTGACCCCAATGAAACTGAAGCTTTGGGGCCCCTTATTTACGCAAGCACCTTTCAAAACTCTACCTAATTTTTAAAATATGTTTTCTTGATGAAGGGCACAAAGTTAGTTAAGCATTAGGCCTTACAAAATCAAGTCGGAATGTGCATGCCCCATATGGAAAGGGGGACTAAAAATTAATTGATGCCAAAAAATTATTTGACAATATATGATCTTTAGGGGGAAAAGAGCTCTTAGAAAACTAGGAGTAGAGGAGAGCTTCCTTAACTTGATAAAGAACAGTCTATAAAACCCCCACAACTTAACATCGTTATACATAGTAGTGAAAGCTGAGTGCTTTTCCCCTAAGTTCTTCCCGAAGAGCTAGGCAAGGATGCCTAGTATCACCACTTTTATTCAGCACAATGCTGGAACTTCCTACTCAGTCAATTAAGACAAAAAAAGTTAAAATGAAACAGAAATGTACCGATCAGAGAGTAAGAAATAAAACTGTCCATGTTTGCAGATGATACATGCAGAAAATCTCAAGGGAGCTACCAAAAAGCTCCTAAAGCTAATAAGTGAACTCGGTAAAGTTTTAGTATATAAGATAAATATACAAAAATAAATTCTACTTCTACATATTAGCAACAAACACACACAACAACATTTATAATCATTCAGAAAAAGAGAAAAACTTAGGTGTTAATCTAACAAAACATGTATGGGATGCGAGTTACTGAAAACTACATAAAATACTGATGCAGAAAGCAAGGAAGATCTAAATAAATGAAGAGACATTCTGTGCTTATGTATTAAAAGATTCACTCTAGCAAAGATGTCAGTTCTCCCCAAATTAATATTCCAATTTAGTGCAATTTCTATCAAAATCTCAAGTATTTTATATAGAGAGGTAAGATTATTTTTGGGTTTATAGGAAATGACAAAGCACTAGAGTATCTCAAACAATTTTGAAAAGGAAGAATAAAATGGGAGAAATCAGTCTATCTGATTTTGAGATTTACTATAAAGCTACTGTAATGACGACTGTGTGGTATTAGTGGAGGGTTAGACACATGGATCTGTGGAACAGGATAGTGAGCCCATAAATAGACCCATACAAATATGCCCAAATTGATTTATGACAAAGATAAAAAAAATCAACTCAATGGAGAAAAGACGGTTTTGTAAACAAATGATCTGAAGCAATTATACATCTTTAGGTACACAATAAACAATGCCATAAACTACACACCTTATGCAAAAGTGAACTCAAAATCGGTTATGTACTTAAATGGTAACATGAAACTATTAAACTTTTCCAAAAATATAGGCAAAAATGTTTAAGATCTAGGGCTAGGCAAAGATGCCTTAGACTTGTGACCAAAAACACAATCTACAAAAGCAAAAATTGGTAAATTTGAACTTCATCAAAATTAAATGCTTTTGTTCCATCAAGTCCTGGTAAGATGAAGAAAAGACAAGTCATATACTGGGAAAAAATATTTACAAACCTCACACCTGACAAAGACTGGTATCTAGAATGTATAAAGAATCCTCAAAACTCAACAGTAAAAAAGCAAACAATCTACAGGCTGTGTTAGTTCCTTCTGAGACTGCTATAAAGAAATACCTGAGACTATTTATAAGGAAAAGAGGTTTAATTAGCCCGCAATTCCACAGGCTAAGTGGTTTCTGCTTCTGGAGAGGCTTCAGGAAGCTTCCAATTATGGCAGAAGGCAAAGGGGGAGTGAGGCACTTCACATGGCTAGAGCAGGAGCAAGGGAGGAGGACAGGTTCCACGTACTTTTAAACAACCAAATCTCATGAGCACGCACTACCATGATGACAGCATCAAGTGGTATAGTGTTAAATCATGAGAAACCGCCCCCATGGTCCAATCACCTCACATGAGGCCCCACCTCCAACACTGGGGATTACAATCCAACATGAGATTTGATGGAGACACAGACCCAAACCATATTAAGGCAATAGATATTTCACTAAAGAAAATACGCATATGGCAAGTAAGTACCTGAAAAGATTTTCAAGATCATTAGTTGTGTGGGAGATACAAATTTGAACCACAATGAGATATCATTACATGTCGGTCAAAATGATTAAAACAAAAAATAGTCACAACACCAAATGCTGGAGAGGATGTGGAGAAAGCCAATTGTTGGTAGGAGTGCAAAATGTTACAGCCATTCTGAAAAAAAAAAAATCTGGCAGTTTCCGTTAAAATTTAAACATGCAACAATCATACCCCAGCAGTTACACTCCTGGCCATTTATCACAGAGAAATGAAGACTTAGTTAAGAAGTTTATTTTGCCAAGGTTAAGGACATCCCCAGAAGAAAAGAACATCGACTCACAGAAACAACCTGTGGTCCGCACCTTTCTCCAAAGATGGTTTTGAGGGCATCAGTATTTGAAGGGGAAAAGCAGGCTGAAGGGGAAAGATGGAGGGTATGGTCATCCACATGTTGCAAGATAAAA